AAAAAACAATTGCTCTTCTTTCCTCCTCCCATGCTCCTGGGAGATACAGTGGTAAGAGAACTGGGATTTGTAAGAAAGACACTGATTCAACCTTCCAAAGTGAACTTAACCTCAAAGTCAGAATTTGAGCAAAAGTAAAGCAAGCAAGAATGTGGCAGAAGCCAGCCTTTTGTGTACTTTCTCTTAGGAACACTTTTCTGGTAGGTTCAGTTACAATAACGAAAAGTTAAAGACAACAGCATGTTCTACCTCTGAGGGTTTGTTAAGTATGCTGTAGTATAAGGAGTCAATTGAAAGCTATTCAATGGTTAAAAATAACCAGGCAATTTGTATGTGTCAACATGGAAAACTAACCAAGACATTCCTTAAGAAAAAAAAAAAAAAAAAAAAGCAAGTCTCAGATTAGTGAGGATACAGAGTGCATTCCATGCAAATCATAAAACTTCCTGGAAGAATCTACAAAACAATCTACAAAACAGAGTAGTCACTCTAAGCCTGGATTCCACAGCAGAGGGGCTAATACAACCTTGGGTTGGGTATTTCTTTGTCGAAGGAGGTCCACCTGGGCATTTCAGGATGTTTTGCAACTTCCCTGGGCCCTTCCACTAGGTGCCAGTTCCCTGTCCTCACTCAGATGTGACAATTAAAATGTCTCCAGACACTGCCAAATGTTCCCTGGGAGGCAAACCTGTCCCAGTTGAAATCCTCTGCTCTTGGAAGTGAGGCTGCAGGAGGGATTTCAGCTTTCCTCTCTCCTCCTCTGAGCTGTTGGGTTTTTTTCTTTCTTTGTTGGGTTTGTTGCTTTATGGTACTGAGATTGAACACAGGGGTGATCTACCACTGAGCCACATCCCCAGCCCTGTTTTGTATTTTATTTAGAGACAGGGTCTCACTGAGCTGCTTAGTGCCTCGCTGTTGCTGAGGCTGGCTTTGAACTCGTGATCCTCCTGCCTCAGCCTCCCAAGCCTCTGGGTACAGGCGAGCCACACTGCTCCAGTCCTTTTTTATTTTAAGACAGGTTCTCACTAGATTGTCCAATCTGACTTCAAACTTGTGATTCCCCTTCCCTAACTTCTGGAATAGCAGGGGTATAGCTCTGGGCTACCACACCCAGCTAAACTGTTCATTTTTCTTTTCTTTCTTGATTTTACTATGAACATGTACTACTTCTATAAGAAAGAAAAAATTAGTGTGTGTGTGTGTGTGTGTTTGTGTGTAAGAGAGATAGAGGAAATGTTTACAGATCCACCTCAGTACTCAACATGGAAAAAAAAATTGAACTATATAACTATAAAAATTTTCCATAAAGCTGTGTTGCCATGTTGATTGACTTAATAGCTTAATGTAGTACATTTACTCCAAAGAACTTAAAAACTGTTAAAATTTAAAAAGTATTCTAAAATTTTTATAGCCATAAAAATGACAGCAGCAGAGCCAATGGGGAAAATGACACCAAAATTAAGCTATTTAATAAATGCAACCAGCATTTGAATCCAGAGTTAAGAATTTCTTTTCCCAGAGCTGGGGATGTAGCTCAGTAAAGTGATCATCTCCCCTGTGTGAGGCTCTGGGTTTGATACTCAGCAACACAAAAATATATATAAAATAAAGGTATTTTGTCCATCTACAACTTAACAATTATTTTTTTCTTACTTTATTTCCCCCCTGGCAAACCCAGCCCTCAGCGAAACTGGAAGAAACATGAACTGGATCTTTGGTACCTTCCTCTCCCCTAACACATTGCCCTGTATTATCAATTTATTTATATGCTTATTTCATATGCTGGAGGGCTACAAAAGAGACTGAATTCTTTGGGAATTCAAAAGCACAATGAGCTTTGGTATAAATTAATTTATGGTTTTGTTCTTACCAGAGACCTATTTACTTTAACATACTCGTCAGAGACAGAGAAGTTCAGAGATCCATGTATCTTACCCATGAACTAATGGATGTAACAAATTAGATCACAAAGGTAGAGGTCAGGTGAGTCCAGGGGCAAGGCCAAGCTGCTTCCTTAGCAGGGGGTATGTGACATTCAGGAGAGGACAGCCATGTTGTTTTGCTCTGTAAAGAGAAAACCCAAAGGAGGATGTGGAACCTGATAAAAATGTTGTGCAAAGTGAAAGAGTATGTTCAAACCAAAGAAAAAAGCAAACAACACAGGGGAAGCAGGGTTGGAGGAGGGATAGGAATGGTGAAGGGAAAATAATATGGAAAGATAACAGTATAATGAGAAAGAGTCTCAGGAAAAATGAGAATTAAAAGCAAAGTTGCCTGCTGAGAAAGAGAGCAGGAAGCGAGAAATTTAAAATGTGGATCTGGGAGGAGTGAGAAAGGACTCAAGGCCGAGGGTGTGTTCTTTGAGTACTACACTAGTGGTGAGTGGGCAGGCTAGGCCTCATGGAGTGCCATTCTTGAAAGGCAGACATGAATAAGTAGGTTTTACTTAAAAAAAAAAAAAAAAAAAAAAAAAAAAAAGGAGCCTTTGTCCTCCTCAAGTCACCATATTTTAATTTCATAGTGTTTATCCATGATTCAGTCTCTACTTTCATTAGTCTTCAGCCAAGACTTGCGTGGAACTTCCTGGTTGTGTGGGTGGCTGGGATAATGAGGGGTGCTCTAGGGCTGGCCTTCGCGTCTCACCCCTCCCTGTTTGAAAGCCTGTGCCCCCTTTGCTCTGCTCCATAAAAGATACTGTCTTGTATGCACGCTCTGTGTGTGGCCCTGGAGCCCCTCCAGCCAGAGAATAACAGCGGCAGCCAGAAAAGGCACAAAATGGATTATAAACTTCAGTGTTAGTGTTGACTAGCAGTGGCCATGCTGCTGCTGCTATTTCCTTCTGAAACAGGGACAAAGAATAAATGTGCTGGGCTTTATAAGAAATGAGTCATTATTGGCCAAAACTTGTCTTCATTGGATGCCAGGGCGGTTATAGTAGTGACTTTTGAAAAAAATCCTTTTTCTTAATATTTGGAAAAATCATAAAATCGAAAATTCACCCACTTCAAATCTTAGTTATGGCCATACTTAAAGGACTGACCTAAAACTGAAATGTTCACAAATATGGAACAGCAAACCAGAGGCTCCCTTTTACATAACCACTTAGAGAAACAATTCCTCATCTGAAAGTCGTGAAGCTCTTTAATCCATTTCTGGTATTTCTAAGTATTAAACAGAAATTGTAAATTTCTCCCTAAAGCTGCACAGGTTCACTGAAATGTCAAGCACTTTTGACTCAGCCTGGAATTATACGAACGAAATGTGGCAACACCCGTTATCTCTTGCTCATCAAGATTTTTGTTGCAGAGAAAAGGAAAGGAGGTAAGGAGGGAGGGTAGGGAGATGGCAGAAAAAAGAAGAGAAAAAACAGCCTTTAGTTCTAGACCTGAATTAGTCTTTGTTAAATTAATATTTAACCTCAACAGGTCTCAGTCATCTCCTCTGTAAATTAGGTACATTGCTGACTGTATTGTACTCCTAGAAGCGTTGGAAATAATCTGTATGAGCATTCAGGTTATATGGTGTGAAATATTGAATACTTCTTGAGTGTTTTACTATGTCCCAGACCCTATTTTAGGTGCTTTTTGTGGATTCATTAAAAAAAAATCAGGAATTTGGTACAATTATTATCCCACTTTGTAGGATGAGGAAATTGAGACACAACAATTTATAAAAACTTGTCTTAGGCCACATAGCTGGTGAATTGGAGTTCTAACCAAGGCAATCTGGTTAAAAAGTCTATAACTCTGTATCACAAAATCATGCCCTTAACCACTGTGCTCTGTTACCTTAATTAATAATATGAACCCTTAATAAGTGATATGAACATAACAGTTGATGACTTCTGTCAGCACTCCTTCACATCACTCTTACTAAAAATAAGAAAAAGAAATTGCTGCTAAATGCATTTATCATGTTTACTAGACAAAATTCTTCAAACCTCAGACCTACAATGGTGGTAAAACAGTCAGTAATGATTGCCCTGTAATGGGCAATTTGATATTTTCATGATCAGCCATTAATTTAATCACTAGGATGACTCTGATATTAAAATGGACTTCTCATCATTAATTTGTTTTTCCACTCATTCACCAACTGCATGCCAAGAACTATACTATAAACTGTTATTTTAGCAGATTGCTATGCCACCAACTCAAATAGAGTGTTATTCTGAAGCCAAAGTAGACATATATGTTTTTATACTCATAAATATAAACATATTTTGGATTCCTAAATATAGCCTCAGAAATCCTTTACTCGGTTCACTTTTCTACCTTGTACTAGTACTAATTCTTATTTATGTGCAACTGCACATAAAACTGCATTTTCTCAAGCATATGAAAAGTTTCATGCTTCCTCTGAGAAGATGTAATCCAAAACAAATTAATAGATGCAATACAAATAAAGAGGATGAAACAATAACCCTTCGATAATCCTTACATACTATGGATTTTAGCACAAAATATATAAGGCACAAAATAATCCTTTTCCCTTGACCAAGTATATAGCCCCTAAAAATCCATTTGGAAAAAGTTAAAAAAAAAAAAAAAAGACTTCTAACTACAACCAATTAGAATGCAATTAGGGCCATTTTCAATTGTCCAACAGCAATTTATTCATTTTATGGATTAACCATACTCCTTTTCTACCACTTTCTCATTTTATGCTTCCGTGCATCTCTTCCTTTAGCCTTGTACCTATTCATTAACATGTGGAGATAAGAGAAACAAAGAACAGAGGCACTTCGACTCCACATTAACAGTCCTTATGCAGCTTTACTCAGAGAAAAGAGATAGCTCAATGAGTTACTTTAGGTTCACATGCCAAAATGAAATATCTTCTGTTCAGGAGTTAGGTGGACTCCTAACGTACATGAAATCGTTACAACTGGAGATCACAAATTCTTACCTCCACACTTAATTTAGATGAAACTGGGACCCACTCAATTATAGACATAATTCAATATAAAAAAAAATGACCTGCAAAATTCAATAAATGATTAGAATAATTTAATATAATTTATGTTTAGAATCATACAATCAAATATACACTACATACATATATTATCTAGGGATTTGGGAGTAATACCTTTCTAATATATATATATTTTTTTAACAAGATGACTTGTAAGAGGTCACGTAGTTAAATAACACCGTCAAGATCAAGATGAGGACCCAGGCTTTGCTAACTAAAATAAATAAACTAATTAATAGAAATAGAAATAGAGAACTTCTAAGGTTCTTCAGGCCAGATATGATGGTACATACCTGGAATCCTAGCAACTCAAGATGCTGAGGCAGGAAAATTGCAAGTTAGAGGCCAATCTGAACAATTTCATGAGATCCTGTATCAATATTCAAAAAATAAAGGGCTTGGGATTCAGCTCAGTGGCAGAACACTTTCTTGGCATTTTTGAGGGCATTAGTTCAACTTGAGTACCACAAAAAGAAAATAAAATCATTCAGCTTTAATAGTCTGAGAATAGCTTACTTCTAAAAATAACTAATACATTTCAATAAGAGACTCATGGAGCCAAACTCCCATGTGTCATATGTGTTAAATGAAGCATTATACACTGTTTTGATGTCATCAAAGGACACACTTTCAGGAATTGGTGGGCTTTTTGCTTTCCTCCAATTAAACCACAAAGGTTTTCACTAAATCCATCCATGTCTGGGGGTACTTCTGCTCCTGTTTCACTTAAATGCTTATTTGGGGGTATCAAATGGTGGGAACCTTTTTCCTGCCTATTCCAAAGTCTGAAAGCATCAAGAGTACCAGAAAAGGTGACTCTGGATACTTTTGCCCCTGGAAAGACTGTCCTTTGTTACTTATCAGGTATCTTATTAGTATCTCCTTTCTTTCCTTCTCCTTCTCAAAACAAAATTAAACAGCCCTGCTGTCAGGAAGGAATCTGATGAGTTCATTCACCACTCAGCATAATGCTTACCAAGAAAAGACTAGGTGGCGATTACTAGGTGGATTCATCTCCACTGTCTCCTAGCTGTATTGGGGAATCAACTGTTCTGTCAAGAGGAGTTATGGCTGAGGCACACTGTGCTGGAAAATGGACAGAAAACATTAAAAATATTAGGTGATTGTTCTTTCTGCTTCATGGTGCTATGTCCTGAGTCACTTTCCTCCACCACTCTTCTGCCATGATGTTCTGCCTCAACTCAGGCCCAGAGCGATGCAGCTGGCCATCTATGGACTGAGACTTCTGAAATCATACTTTTCTTGGCCCAAAACAACTTGAAACCTGGAATATTATCATGTTGTGCATGTTCATAACCCCTAAAATAAACAATAGACTCAAGAGAGATGGCAAATGCATCCATCCAGCATATCATTTTTAAAAATTCCCTTTATTATAATAATGTAATGTGCACAAATATATCTTCTATTATCTATCTATATATCTATCTACCATCAGCTCTCCATATCTCCCACTTTTGATAGTCCAAAAGAGCAATTCAATGAGATTTTTGTTGCTTTAAAATAATATTGTGATTTCCTCAGGAGAAACACTTCTTTGTTTCCAGAGATCAAGGGTACCTCCTTTCTTCAACCTAGTACTTTCTTTGTAACTCAATCCCTGCATTAGCTGATGAACACAAGAAGAGGAGAGCTATCATGGTCTGTCAGATGAATGCTGGCATACTGGCTTTATCTCATCATTTCAGGGATCCCCTCTTTTTCCCATTCTCTCCTTTCTGTTTGACTATGAAAACATATGAATCAATCAAAGAAATTTATCAAATTTTATAGCATTCTCTTTCCTTTCCTGTTCATATACATGGCAAATATGGAATACGTAGATGCCTTGCAATTTGGGGCAACATTTTTATATTTATATTTATTTTCTCACTTCTTTCATATTAAAGCAGAGTTAGGAAATATCCCATATGGAAAAGCCGTGACATAAATGGTCTTGACCATCTACATTCTAATCCAGACATAAATAAAATTTACCTCCTGTTTCCTTTGTGTGTTCTTTTTATTTGTAATAATATCCATTCCTTGTTTGTATAGGAATTTCCAAGATTTGACTCTTATGACTGAAAAGGGTGAAACAGTCTTAGTCTTAAGGCATTGTCATAGTTATCTAAAAATATAGCAGTATTTAGGCATTCTTGCATCTTCTATCCTGATACCATCACAAATCCCCCTTCCTATATTCATTCCAAATAATGGACTACATGAGTGAATGATACATCTGTCTGCACTAAAAGTTCATGAACAAAGAAAGAGGATTGTGCTACATGATCATTTGTCCATCTCTTTAGAAACAATCAGAACTAACTGCCTCCACTTTTTAATAATTAATGTATGTAAGTAACATTTATTTCTTTAGAGCTCTGTGAGTTCTGAAAAAGATTGTAATAATATGCAACACTGCAAAAAAAGATGAAGAACAACCCTCCCAAATTCCTCTCTGCTTCTATCTGGTCTAATCATCCTCCACCTCTAGTCCCTGGCAATGATAGATTTGATTTCTGAACCTATGATTTTGTATTTGCATAAAAGTCATATAAATTGGAATCATAATTAAAATTCAGCCTTTTGTGTTTGCTTTCTTTCACACATTTCACACTTAGTGTTACACATATTGCTTTGTCTTTCTCTATTGCTGATTAATATTCCATTGTATAGTATAATACAGATGGTTCATGTATTCTCAATTTAAAATATATTTGGGAGTAGTTTCCACTTTTTGAACTTAAAAACATAGCTTATATCAATTTCCATTGGCAGGATTTTGTGTGAACATAGACTTAGTTTTCTCAAAGTAGACAGAGAAGCATGAAATTGAAGCTTATTGCATGAAACATGTAACATGCTGTTCTGAATCTATGTCATAAATTATTAGTTTCATTTGAAAATTTCTGCCATTCTATTAAGTATTAGAATATCTGATTGTGGTTTTATGTCTAATGATGTTGAAGACATTGTCAGGTGTGGGTTTCTGTATAACTTATTTGGTAAACTGTCTTGAGATTTTATATCAGTTTTCTTTTTACTGTGAATTCCCTTGTTTATGATCATTGATAAGTCTTTTGGAAGACCTGTGATTTGCAAATACTTTCCCCCAATTTTAAGATTTGTTTTTGATACTATTAATAGTATGTTATACAAAACAGAAGCTTTTATTTCAATAAAGTTCAATTTATAACTTGAAAAATAGATTTTAGATGATTTTTAGGCTTGCTTCTGGAAATCCCTGACATAGAAGGTCAAGGAATTAAATACTGGAGTTGGATTTATACTAGAGCTGACTGTTTTTATGGCCAATACAACATTTATTGGTATGTTAAGATAAAGTTAATCAAGTCTTGGGCTTCATGGTGGGGAAGCAAATATTACTTCTTGAGAATTAGAGAAGGATTCTTCTCAGAACACTGTAGCACACACATATGCACAATCATTTAGTTTTCTTTACATTTCTGGAGTTTATTGAAAGTTCAAGTACTAGTCATTGAACATCTGGGTTCTTAGGAAAACCTGAACACCATTCTGAAGCTGTCACATTTTGGGGGATGCACTAGGCAAGCATTTTTTTTGTTTTTAAACAATTTCCCACACAGCAGAAGTATAATTTTCATTCTTTACCTAACTCTGACTAATCAGGGCAATTTCCCAACTTATTTCCCCAGACTTCATTTTCATATTTAAAATTGGGTTATCACATAATTTTGGGGTGAAAAGATGAATTGTTTTAGCTAAGATTTGTAATTTATTATTATTAATGTGTATTTCAGTCTTTTTTGTGGGAGGGTACTGGGGATTGAACTCAGGGGAACTCAATCACTAAGCCACATCCCCAGCCCTATTTTGTATTTTATTTAGAGACAGGGTCTTACTGAGTTGCTTAGTGCCTTGCTTTTGCTGAGCCTGGCTTTGAACTTGTGATTCTCCTGTCTCAGCCTCCCAAGCCACTAGGATTACAGTTGTGTAACATCACATCCAGCTGATGTGTATCTTTCAGCCTGTTCTCAGTTTAATTAATGACCATAAAGAGGGTGGCATTGGTGCCTGGCTCTGCGGACAATTTGTAATACCCCTAGGTCACTGTTTCAGAAAGCATAATAGGTTTATGGTTTAGAATATTTCACAAAGATTACAAAGAAAGGATCATCACATGATTACTGATTATTTTAAGGCCATCATTCAGCATTTGGTGTAGCAGATTTAGAGACAGTGGTGAAAGCTGAAAAGGTGCAGGATAACCACTAAGCAGCAGCTTAATGTCATGGAAAAAAACAACTAAAGTTCAAATCCTGGCTCTGCCCCTTTGTTTCTATGTGAACTTGGCCAGTCATTCAACCTTTCTTAATCTCAGTACCTTCCTTTATAAAGTGGGGATATTAAAGCTACCTTGAAACAGTGTGGAGAAGATTAGACTTAATCAGTGGTTCTCAATTAGAGCAATTTTGTCCCCCAGGGGAAATCTGACAATGTCTGCAAATAATTATATCACTACCTGGGGAGACGGAGTTACTGGCAGAAGCCAAGGATGATACTAAAATGGATTTAGTAATGGTACAATGCATAGAACAGTCTCCTAACCCTACCCCAAGAAAGAATTGTCAGGTATAAAATGTCCTTAGTGCTGAGATTGAAGAACCCTGAATTTAATTCATTCAAAGTGACTAGAATAATGCATGGCAGAAATAAAGAAAGGTCACTGTAATCCCCAAATTCATCTATTATGTCCCTAGTCCCTCAAAATATAACTGTATTAGGAGATAAGAATTGACTAAGTTAAAATGAGACCTTTATATGATTGGATTCCTAAGAAGAGCCTAGACAAAGGCACTTTGGCACTTGAGTATAAAGGAAAGACTATGTGAGAATATAGCTAAAAGCTAGTCACCTAGAAGCCAAAAGACAAACCTCAAAAGAAACCAAACCTGTCAACACCATGATCTTGAAATTCTAGCTTCCAAAACTGTGAGAAAAATTATTTGGTTTAAGCTACCCAATCTATATTTTCTCATGGCAACTCTAACAAACTATTATAGTAGTGGCTATTATTATTATCATTATTATAAAGGAACTGTTTGATTTTGAAAAACATTATCAGAAAACTCGGAGCAAATATACCAAATCTTTATTGGTATTCTAAAAGCCTAAAGCCCTGTTAGAAAAAGAGTAATTTGAGATAGTAAAAGCAAATTGAAAAACAACAATGCTCAGCCCATGGATATGGCAAAGTTCAGTGTTCATAGAAATAAGAAATGGTAAGAATGTACTCAAACAGAATTTGCATGGATAATGCTCTTGATTACTTATTATATTACTTAGGTTCCAACTTCCCCACCTTCTGACACTGTGAACTTTCTAGGTGTCTGCTCAAGTTACAGATTCCTAAATGAGATCTATATCAGGCACAAAGACAGCAAATGAATATTCTTATTAGAAGTTGATTTTCTGATTCCAAGTATCATGCAGAACTTCAATCATGAGGTGCCTGGCTAGCAAGAGGATTCTTTGTGCCATGCTCTTCAATAGCACCCCACCAAACACAGACCTCTTCGAGCTCTTACTTCTAGCTCATACCCTTATCTGAAATCCTAAGGTCTCAATTTTGATGAGAAGCAGCAAGAAAAAAAAAAAAAAAACAACAAGATAAAAAGTGTTTTTTTCTGAAGCTTAGAGCTTATCTGACTGATGTTTTTCTCAACATTTGTTCCCAGGCCTTCCCTTGATTTTTTTCCTTCCAAGAGCAAGTTAATCTTGGACAGCAGACATAAGGGGAGACACTGTCAAAACAATTAGTGAATATTAGGTGATGTTTTATATAAGGATTAGGCATTACTGCTGTCACCAATTGCTTGCATTCAATTAGAAGGAAATGATAATTATGTTAATCCACAGTTTAAGAGAAGAACACTGTGTAGGTATCACTTCCATTTTACTAAAGACAATGAATAGAGACCACTAAGGACAATAATAAGGTTAGCCTCATATCAATTTAAGAGAATTTTGAATGGCATTGCCTTTGGAAGGAATTTTTTTTGGTAGGAACATTCATTTTTTTTTTAATTTTTTATTGTGGGTTGTTCAAAACATTACAAATTTCTTGACATATCATATTCCACACTTTGATTCAAGTGGGTTATGAACTCCCACCTTCACCCCATACACAGATTGAAAATTACACGAGGTACTACTTTGTTACACAGTAGGCTGGTCAAATTTCAGCCGTAAGTACATTCCTCCAGATGTCCTGTGTAGAGAGTCAGAAGGTTGGATTATTTTAATTCAGAGTTGTTCATAAATCTAATACCCTTAGTTTTCTAGTGCAGAATATGAGGGCTAGAACAGTGAGGTGATGCACCAACTACAAACAAGTAGTCAGTTGTGCAAGAAACCTTTAGATGCAAATACTTGAGAACATGGCTCTTTGCATTCTACTACTGCCCTGGAAGGTTAGTCAAGGTACATATAGATATGTATATAGAATTACACATCTCTTCTAGAACATTTATTATTTCTTTGTTTTCTTTGTCCTAATAACACCTGCCTGTCTTTTGGACATACATCTTCCTCTCCTCCCTTACCCCAATTTTTATTATACTCATGAGGACTGGAAAATAGTATTTTTTTTTTTTTTTTTTTTTTTGGTGGTGGTGCTGGGGATTAAACCCAGGGCTTCATACAAGCTAAGTATGCACTTTACCACTGAGCTACAACCCCAGCCCCCCCCAAATTTTTTAATACAGAATAAATCCATACTACAGACTACTATCCAGATTTTACTATTTAAAATTAAGATAATGAGGTTTAGATTTTTAAAAAATCAAGAAATTCTCAAATTTTTTTTAAAGAAAAAAATATTTTATTTTTTGGTTTTTTATTACAGAAAAAGAAATTATTACTGGAAAAAAATAATATAGTGTTAAAGTATAATAAGATTTTTAACAGAGGAAGAAAGATGGTAGAATTTGATTCCAGAACTTAACAGAAGGTGAAACTATGAAGATAAAAAATGAAAAATTGTGGTATATATGTGTATTAAGAATTGTAATGCAAAAAAGTACGTGTATAAAGACATAAATTGGTGTGAATATACTTTATATACAGAGATACCAAAATTTGTGCTCTATATGTGTAATAAGAATTGTAATGCATTCCACTGTTGTCCTGTATTTATTAAAAAATAAGATCAATAAAAGAAAAAAAAATATGAAATTGAACAAGAAAAAAATTAACCTAAAGATTTTGTTTCACACAAATTATTGTCCAAGATAGAGCTTGTCTGATTATTATTTACAATCTTGGGCAAGGCAATTAGTCTCTCTAAACTTCAGTGCCTTCAACTCTTAAGTGAGGAAGTGATCATTAACATATTGTGTTATTGTAAAAATTGGTGAAAATGTATATAAATTGCCTAGCATGTAGTGCCATTGATTAGTGAGGTCAATTGCAAATACAGCCCCTCTTTGCACCTTTGCAAGGTCAGTACAAGCTCCTCCATGAAATCATGGAGTCTAATTCCCTACCTGATAAATTGAGCCAATTTTGTTACTTGTTATAGGCTAATAGTCTACCAGTTCTAAGTCAAGCCACTCTTGTGACCACATATAAACATATCTGGACAAACCAACTAGAAGGTGGGAGAAATGCAGCCTAGTCTCACAGTCATTCTGACAATCAGAGAGCTCCTAGAAGCAGACATGCTGAACTGACATGCACGTGACAGCACAGAGGGCCCAGCCAAGACCCAGAACTGTAAGATGAAAACACCCTAAATTTCCATCCCACAGAAATATAAACTAAGTTAATGAATATTGTTTTAATATCCATTTTAAGTTTTGGAATCATTGGTTATGCAACAATAAACTGATATAAGTAATATTTCTATTAATGCTTTAATTATAAAAGAATTTTTTAAGGTTAAACAATCCTAGGTGTCATAATTTGCCTAAGAACACAAATGATATCTTCAGAATTTTCTTTTCCAGAATACATAAGCATCCTTAACCAAAATTTTTAATTTGACTCTGAAAATAATGGCCTTGTCCAAAAGGTCAGGAAATAGCTCTAGTTCATGAACATAGCAAAGAAAAAAATACAAATGATAGCAAAATAGAATGGAAGTTAATGTTGTATCTTGCAAAAATATCTTTCAAAAGACTTTAGGAAGAATTTGAAGGATTAGGGGAAATCACTAGAAAAATTTGGCAACAGACTGTAGCTTTGGGTTATTAATTACGTAGTCAGTCTCTCCCTGGTCTCTAGCCCTTCTTCAGAGTTACTCTTTCCCCTTGCAACATTTTTTCCAAGGGCAGTCTATAGTATATTATACTCTTTGCCCTTCTCCAGAAAACAAATCAGCCTCAGGCCATTTATGGTCCCCAAAATGTTTTGTTTTGTCCTAGGATCAAAAACAAGTCAATTTATCTCATCAAACACTGACCTCTGCATCTACAGATGAGTCCAGACAGAATACAGCTCAGCCCCTGTCTCAGACTTTGGGTACAGGAGGAAGCTGTGCTGTGGTCCCCATGCCAGATGCCTGTCTAATAGGTAAACTGGGTATGGTTTGCAAACAGAGATGGAGACTCTTGAAAGCAGTTTGCTTTGGCTCTTGCTGGGAAGCAAGGGTCTGGGCATCACAGAGAACTAGAAAATCAGGTCACATGTGATGGGAAGTTGAACAGAGGCAACTGTTGCTTTTTATATCTGTGTTTATAGATTTTTTCCCCTGTACAGACAGTTTTCAAGAGCAGCAGGAATGAGAAAGTTTGGCAGAAGAGAAAGTTTCTCTATTTCTTTTCAGCAAATTGCTCTTGGATTCATCTTTGGCTGGATGCTAAACTAAGGACACCTGCCAATTTCACCTTAGGTTTTGATAAAATAATTAAGTTATGAAAGAGAACGTAACATTACATATTGTATAAACTCAAATCCATGTAATTCACATGAGGGATTAAAGGGAACATTCTTCCTCCCATAGGTTGTGAGGATTTCACTACAAATTAAATTACATTTAGTTTGAGGGACCAAATTCTAAAAATAAATCTGAAAATTTAAACATTTAATACACTGATGGATCTTAAATAGCCTAATGTCTTAGAGATTAAGGAACCAGATAGTTAAGGGTCCAGATAGTTAAAGATGACAAAGTACTTTCCCCTTAAAAAGCAGACAGAGATCTGGGGTTAGTCAAAGTTCATTATGCAAATGGGAACATGGTGTCTAAATTTTTTAATTATTTTTTATAAAAATTGGCAAATGCATTCTCTAACTTATAGCAATTATATACATATTTTCTCCCTTCGCCATATTTTCATTTCTACCAACTTCTAAATATATTTTGAGATCTCAACATCTAATTCTAAGTTAACTAACAGTTACTGCAGAAACCAACTCTCTACCTCACAATGTGAATTTTACACACATTTGTGTCTAAGTTAAAATAATTCTTTCCTCACAAAGTTAAGTTTCTTAAATTATTAAAAATATAATACACTTAAGTTTTTTAAGGTCTTAGCATTTCCTTAAAAAACTACAGAAGACTATGTATGGTAATTTTCTTCCAAACTCATAGATGAGCACAAAATGTTTGCAGATAGACATTTTTTTTTTCCCCTGGAGCACATCCTCAGAGTAGTCTACAAGGCCCTGTATCATCTGGTCTTTGCTTATATCACCACCCTTATACCTTATACCCCCTCAGGACTGCCCTTATTTCAACCACTAGTGTTCATCAATCTAAAGGCTCAGGTCATTTGCACTTGCTATGTCTGTAATCTACATCCATGTTATTAGTAGACTGGTAAACCCCGAGCTCCTGGGAACCACCATCCTGCTCTCTGCTTTTACAGAGCAACTGGTTTTGATTCCACACTTCATTGAGGTCATAGAGCACCACCTTCTACATTTGCTGTTTTCAAATACAATAATGTCTCCTAAAGCTCATTAGGGTTTCAAATAACAAGATTTCCTGCATCTTGAAGGCAGTATATTGTTCTGGTGTCAAATGGTTGACGTGTTTTTGTATGTGGACATAATCTTAAAACACCAGTTAAGAAAATTAAGGAGATTTTTTTCAGAAGTGATTTATGAAACATTATTTTTATTTGTTTTAGTACCAGGAATTGAACCCATGGGGGGTTAACACTGAGCCATATCCCAGCCCTTTTTGTTTGTTTGTTTGTTTGTTTTCAAATTTTGAGACAAGGGTCTTGCAAAGTTGTTTAGGGTCTTGCTAAATTGCTGAGACTGGATTTGAACTTGCAATTCTCCTGCTTCAACCTCCCAAGCTCTGGAAAGCAGTATAGAAATCTGCCAGAAAACTTGCAATGAAACAAGCATTTGAACTAGTTATCCCACTCTTTGGCATACACCCAAAGTACTTAAAATTGGCATACCATAGGGATGCACCCACATCAATATTTTTTGCACCTTAATTCACAATAACTAAGCTCTGGAACCAACCTAGATGGCATTCAACAGATGAATGGAAAAAAATACACACACATACACATACATACACACAACCATACACACACACAGGAATATTACTCAGCCATAAAGAATGAAATTATGACATTTGCTGGTAAGCAGATGGAACTGGAGACTATCATGCTAAATGAAATAAGCCAATCCCAAAAAACAAGGATTGACTGTTCTCTGATATGTGGATGCCAATGCACAATAAAGGGGTGGGGAGGGAAGAATTGACATTCATTGGATAAGACAAAGGGGAATGAAGGGAAGGGAAAAGGGATGAGAAAAGGAAAGACAGTAGAATGAACCAGATGTAACTTTCCTATGTTCACATATGGATTCATGGCCAGTGTAAATCCTCATCATGTACAGCCAAAATATGGGGAGTTATACTCCATGTACCTATAATGTGTCAAAATGCATTCCACTGGCATGTATAACTAAAAAGAACATAAAAAATTTAAAATTCATCTGCAGAGGCTTTACTGGGGCCTATTCTGGATCACAAGGTGGGCAGTCCATGGAACAGCGGTGTCAGAATGGCCCAATGAGCGTACGAGGAATTGTGTTGTCCATGACAGGAGGGTGGGTCTGTGCACATAGTCAGTTGCCTGCCTGCTGGACCCCATTTTGCACTGCCATGCCAGTCTGCACAAGCTTACTGGGCTCGTCTCTCTGAGCTGTCACGTATGGGAGAGTTGTTCCTCAATAAAGAGTGGGGGCATCAGAAGTACTTCCACTGTGGGTGGGCACATACGGAGTAATTGTGTCCTAGGAAACCTCCTTGGTGCCAGGGACTGTTGCAGTGGTCAAGCAGAGTCTTCTGGGCAACCAAGACACCTGCAGGGACCGGATCAGGGGGTGATAGAAGCAGCATTGGGTGGTGGGGTGGGACATGGTTTCCACAGATAATCTTATTTCCAATAGTCCCAAAGGTGTGGACAAGTGTCCCAGCAAGGACACAGGGGTGGTGGCAGCTGCCACATCTAAGCCATGTCAAGGTTCCACAGGATGACAGCAGCTGGCTACCTGGCTGTGTGACAGGGTGTTGGCAACTGTAAGTCCAGCATGTGGACCACTGTACCGGACAGGAGAAGATGGGGAGCACGTTGTGGCAGTGACAAACAGACACCTGTCCCTTTCTTTCCCGCCTTTCCAGAGGGAATGGGGTTTGTGCCCTCTGGTGCAGGTGCTGTGACCCCACCTCTGATCCTTGGCCTGCCTTCTCCATTTCCTGATCCCTAGGTGGAAGCAACATGGGTCTTTGCAGTGCAGGGTCCAGCAGAGGTCACAGCTGGGTGTGGTCACAGTGATGCAATAGGCAGCAGGGACAGCAGACTACCATGCACCATGGGGCACCTAGAAGAGCATGTCCCTACACTGGTCCACAGTGGAAGCAGCCAATGTGAGTGTCAAAGTCAGAATTGTGCCTTTTCCGGTGTTTCTTAATTAGAAAACACAAGGATGTTGGACTCGCTTTATGTTTGGATATGGAGTGACCAGGAGAGAAAAGCAAACACAAAACCATCAATTGCAAAATGAAACACACCTATCCCACTCCTTGAGTTATGCCCGAATGACTTAATGTGACACAGCCACATTAATGTTTATAGCAGCTCAACTCACAATAGCTAAACTATGCAAGAAACCTAGGTGCCCTTTAGCAGATGAAATGGAAAAGAAAATGTGGTATATACACACAATGGACTATTACTCAGTCATAAAAAAGAACAAAGTTATGACATTGGCGAAAGAAGCTAATCCCAAAGAACCAAAGGCTGAATGTTTTCTCTGATTTGTGGATGCTAATTCACAAAAACGGGGGAGGGTGCCTAAGGAAGAATAGAAGGGCTTTGGATTAGACAAAGAGAGGTAAAGGGAGGGGAGGTGGCATGGGAGTAGGAGGGATAGTAGAATGAATCAGACATTATGAGCTTATGTGCATATATGATTACATGATCAGTGTAATTCTACAACACATACAGCTGGAAGAATGAGAAGTTATACTCCATTTATGTATGATGTATCAAAATACCATCTACTGTCATATAAAACTAATTAGAATATATAAGTTTAAAAAAACAAACACAGTTTACCTAATCGCTTTCCATTCACCAGGACTCCTACAGATCCATTCTCATTGTGGTCAACCCGGGTTTAATGGAGTCTTCTCATCCCAGGACACATTCCTGCTTGAACCAGAACAACAGCATGTGTTACAATTTAGATATGAGGTATCCCCAGAAGCTCATGGGTGAGACAATTCAAGAAATATTAGAGGTGAAATGATTAGGCTATGAGAACCTTAGCCAATCATTCCCTTAATCCACTGATACAGGTTAACTGGACAATGATTGTCCGCAGGTAGGGGTTGGCAAAAAGAAGTAGGTCAATGAGCGCTTGTATGTGGGATGTATATATTGTGCCCAGGGAGCCCACTAGCACTTCTCCACCTTGTGGCAATATCCTGAGCTTCTTACTTCCACCACACTCTTTTGCCATGATTATTTGCTTCCTGATGGCCAGAGTTCTGGAGGCAGCTGACTCTGGACTGCTTGTGAAACCGTGAGCCAATTAAACATTGCCTCCTCTAGTTCTTCTTGTCAGGTCTTTTGATCATAGTGGCAAAAAAAAGCTGACTAGAATAGAAGTGGTTACCAAGAGATGAGTTCTTCACTGTGACTAATCTAACCATCTGGTTCAGTACTGTCTAGATCCTTTCGGAATTTGGGGTGGAATTTTCAAAACTTTAGAGATGCCATCTGGAAAAGCTTTCACTATGGTAAGCAGAGCTTTGGGAGTGATTTTGGTGGAAGCTCAGAAGGCCAGGAGGCTAAAGGACTGTCAGTATTAAAGACGGTGCTCATGACTTTGCTGAGGAGAAAGCTTATTCTATTGGAAGAGGGACTGGAGGGCATTCATGTTACTTTCTAGCAAATTCATTGTCATTTTCCATTTAACATTTTACACATGTCTTGACACTATCTATGTGGCTAAATTTAGTTAGAGATGATGTCTTAATTATTCTAGTGGAAAAATTTCAATGCAGCACAAAAATTTCAATTTCATCCAGTGGTATGGATATTGCTAGCAGCATTTATCCAGATGACTGTGAAAATGAGCAGCAGGTAGCAGAGTTTGGCCAGAGAAGTTGCAGTAAAGCTGGCTCCACTGGTAGCGAACTAGGTCACTAGTAGCAAACCCTTGGAGATGAATCTTGCCATTTGCTCCTTCTTACTATCTACGTTGTGGCTGCCATGAGGTGAGCAGCTGCCCTTCAAAATGTCCTTGTGCCCTAATGTTCTGCTCCACCTCTGGCCCAGGGCAATGGAGCTGGCTGTCCATGGACTGACACCTCTGAGACATGAAATGTTCTGCATCATCTTAGCCCCAGAGCAATGTAGTCAGCCAAACATGGACTGAGCTCTCTGGAAAATGCAACGCTAGGCAACAGGAAGAACACTGCACACCTTCAATATGGTGTAGAGAGAAGGATGTGTATGTGCTTTGGTCAGGATGAGAGGGAACTCTTCCCAAACAAACTACATATTTTACCTGAAGTAACATCACAGTCAGGCACCATTACTGGATCAAGGATCCTGTGGGACAGTTCCAGGGACAACTGTAATGGTTTTCTAAATTGATAGTATGGTGGGAACTATAGCTGTAGTTATCTGAGGGCAACGGATGGTGGTTTGACTCTGGATGGCTACAGTCACGTCCAGTAGAATCGTGGAGATATTTATTTTCGGAGCCAAGTAGAATGACTGCCTAAGTAACCCAAAGGAAAGCAGCCTCAGAATGACCCTCTGGAGGGTGAGAATAACTGTGCGGTGGGTGTGGGAGAAGAAGCAGGGGAGAGTCAGGAGGCACCTAAGCTCAGACCAAGTGGGGGGAGGGGTCTCTTCACCCTGGAACCTTCCTTTGACCAATCATCTTGGCCCAAGTCCTTTCTCTGTCACAGGCTCCAGCCACATGTCACAAAGGCTAAACTGGAGTTCAGCCTGTGGTTGAAGGAGGAGCTGGCTTCTCAGCCAAGCTGCTCTGTGCTGACTAGCGTTGGACTAGTGTGGACTTCTGCCTAGTGACGAGCCCCAGGTGCCCTCCCTGGGCAGTCTTTTGACCAAGTGCGTTCGCAGGCTGTGCCGCTGGGCCCTCTTGGGCCATCACACTCCCCTCCGCCTCGCCCGGGAGGCTCCCTCTCCTCACAGGGACCACCCCGCTGCACCTGCCTCTCCCCTCAGCCCTGCCAGCAGGCGTTTCCCCCAGGATCACGGACCTCGGGGGCCTCCTGCTGCTGGCAGGGACAGAGGCCCGCTCCTCTCTCGGGGGACCCTGCTGCCCGTGTCCTGGGGGCCGCTCCCCAAAAAGCCAGTGCTATCCCGGAAGAACTCTCAGATGTTCGGACCCTCGAGAGCAGTAAGGATCCCCCCTCCTGGGCGCAGGCCTCTCCTCCTGCCTTCAGTTCCTCAGCTCATCCACCACGCTGAGGGGCCCATGACACCTTCTTGCTGCCCTATTGGTGCCTCTAAGGAAGCTGAGCTCAGGGCCCAGGACCAGCCAGAAAAAGGCAAGATCCACCTAGAGGAGGAGGAGCAGGAGAAGGAGGAGGAGGGGGAGGAGGAGAAGCTGAAGGAGAAGAAAGAAGAGAAGCTGGAGGAGGAGAAGGACGAGGAGGAAGAGGAGAAGAAGGACGAGGAGGAGGAGGAGCTGGAGGAGAAGGAGGAGGAGAAGGTGGAGAAGGAGGAGGAGGAGGACACTCGGGGAGACCTCAGTGCCCTGGAGCCCAGTTCTTGGCCCCCAGAGGGAAACATCCTTCCAGAGAGGGCCCAGGTGTCTCCCAAGAACTTATCATCTGGGAGCCCCACAACCTGCAGCTCCCACTGCCCTGCTCAAGGAGTGCTCGCCCTCCTTAAAGCTGAGGGCCCCTCAATGCTCCACAAGTGGACCCAGGAGCCTGTAGATCTGCCTGTCTCTCCAGCCTCCCAAGATGCCATCCAGGGAGAGCAGGGCCTAAAGCCGACCTGTGTTCTAGCCCAGAGTTGGCCCTCACTAACTGCTGCTTCCAAGAGGCCGCATAAAAGGAAACAGCTCATGCCAGTGGCCCTGCCATCACTGATTTCCTGGCATCAGGATGGGCTGCCCCCACCTGCAAAGCGGCCACGTTTATGTACAAATGGCACCCTGAGGAGGGTTCAGAGTGCCAGAAGTAACCACGTGGAGCCTGAGGCAGAGGTCGCCCAGGGCGGAAGAGAGGCTCCGGAGGACTGCACCACCACTGTCCATTCATCCTCCCCACCTGCAGGCCCTACCTGGAATGCAGGCCCCCTCCCCCCACCCACTGACCCCTCCCCCATCCCAACCAACCTTGCCAGCAGGCAGGTGGAATTCCAGCCTGCTGGGCCCCTGAACCAATCCATCCCTCCACCTTCCCCCTCATCTAATATTCCTCTGCCTCTTCCCAGGAAACCTCCTTCTCCATTCAGCCCCAGTCCCCATGTCGGAGTTACCCCTAATGTGTTTCACCCAACAACACAACTGTCAAGACCTGTGATACCTCCCAGTTCCCACCTCCCCACACCTCATACCCAGGTCCCTTTCCCCTCCAATCCTACCTCTTCCAGAACAGAATCCCCAACCCCCATGTGTATTGATCCTCCTCCTCCTCCACCACCTCCTCCCCTTCCTTCTTCTTTTCCTCCTCCTCTTCCTTCACTTTTTCCTCCTCCTCCCCCTCCTCCTCCCCTTCCTTCTTTTCCTCCTCCTCCCCCTCCTCCTCTTCCTCCTCCTTTTCCTCCTCCCCCTTCTCCATTTCCTCTTCCTCCTCCTCCTATTCCTCCTCCTCCAACTCCTTTTCCTGCTCCTCCTCCTCTTCCTCCTCCTAATGTTCCCTCTCCTTTGGCTGCTCCTCCTGCTGCTCCTCTTCCTCCTCCTCCTCATTCTTTCCCACGACCCACTCCTGTCCCTTCCACCCGCAACCCCAATACCCAGGGCCAGCACTCCGTCCCTCCAACCCTCATAGCCATGCCATCGGCTCACCATTCCAAGCATCCTGCTGTGCTGCCTGAGGACATGGCCATGGACACTACCCCCCCTTCCATGGCCATCATTTTCCCATCTTCTGCGTCCAGTGACAGCTCTGGCCCACAACGCAGTGTCCATCGCCATAGGCAGCACAGGAAGCCAGCAAAGGGACCAGTCTTCCCCGGCCCCCCAACCCTTCAGTTCTCCCAACCCAACCCCAATCTGTCCCATACCATTGTCCCACCACCCACCCCTCAGCCTGCACTTGGGAACCATGGAAAAGCCAGGAAAAGGAAAAGAGCCTCTCTTCCCAATGCCCCCGTGGTTACCATGCTGCCAGTGAAGGTCCACTCACCATCCTCCACCCTGGCACAGAGGGCCTCTGCACCACCAACCTCCCAGGCTGCCAGTGAAGAGCCCATGGATACGACCCCCTCCACCCTGGCACAGAGGGCCTCTGCACCACCAACCTCCCAGGCTGCCAGTGAAGAGCCCATGGATACGACCCCCTCCACCCTGGCACAGAGGGCCTCTGCACCACCAACCTCCCAGGCTGCCAGTGAAGAGCCCATGGATACGACCCCTCCTTCGAAGGCTGTCAAGTTCTAGTCACCTCCTGCATCCCAAGTTCTTAGACTGACTCAATTTGGTAAGCATGGAAGACACATCGACAGCTATTTCTATATTGTAGGCCTGGTGCTACATATTTGGGATTTGATTTCTGCTTTCTATTTTTTTGCAATGTTACTTTTGAGATAAAATGTGCTTTGCAAATGTTGGCTTTTGACATAATAGCTGAAGACATAATCACCAATGAAGCAGTGCTTATGTGTGCGTGCACACACACACACACTCACACACACACACACACACACATACACAGAAATGCCACAGTCTTTGTCTCTAAGTTTCAGAAGTAGGCAAACTTCAAAATTTTCTAAAACTATAAAGGAGACTAAAGAGATGTGATAAGTGTATGAACTGTGGGAGCCTGGACTTAAATCAAGCATGGAGGATGACAACAGGACAACTAACAAATTGGGCTATAGACTAGAGGAAAGTATTGTGTCAATGTTAGTTTCCTGAATGTAGGAATTTTTCAGGGTCATGAGAGAGAATGTGCTATCCTGGACAATTCATAGCAGAGTAATGGCATTAAGTGTCC